CACCAACAACTGTTCACCACTTACATCGTCTCGGGGAAGGAAGTGGCCTTGTGAACATCATGAGTCATTTCCTTTTTTCCTCAGGGAATCCGTCCAGCTCTGTGACAGGCTCCTGTGGGTAAGTGCCACTGCTCTGATTTCAAAACAGCAGCAGCCATGCTCGGAGGCTGAGTCCACGGCAGCATCTATACGTCCAACCAAGTCTCATTTTAACACGCGTATGTTGTAGCTGCAAAGTCAGCATCAATATCCTCTGGTATTAGCTCTATGCCTGACTTACACACCCTAAACCCTATCGTATGAATTCCAGGCTCAATTCCTCAGAAAATTATCTGATGGCTAAAAATGAAGGAACAACATGGTCACATGACTTTTCTCTTAGGGAAGTCTGTCTGCCATTAGGAGGATGGCTTGAATGAGAGCTATGACTGAAGGCCAAGGCCAGTAGGAAGTTGTGTAATTTGCATATAAGCATCTGTTGCAGGGTATTTGTACACTGTGTGAAGATGTATTGCTAAGATTGGTTTAATAAAAAGCTAAACAGCCAATAGCTAGGCAGGAGAAGGTTAGGCAGGACTTCTGGGCAGAGAGAGGAACTCAGAGGTCAGTATCTGGCATGGCAGGACATGCCAGCAAGACATGGAGGAAATCAGACATACAGAACTGAGGAGAGGTGAAAAGCCATGTGGCAGAATGTAGACTAGTAAAAGCAGGTTAATTTAAGTTATAAGTGCTAGTTGGGAACAAGCATAAGCTAAGGGCCAAGCTTACGTAATTAATAAGAAAGCACCATGTCATTATTTAGGGGCCAAATCTGACAACAACAACAAAAAAAAGACCTGCTACAAACACTGATGCCTCCTTGCTGCCTTTCAGTCCATTTCAGGTCTGAATCCCACCCCATCCCTGTGTTCGGCACAACTCACCTCTGGCCGTGTGTCCACAGTCCTCATGTGAAGTGCTCACACACACGGGGGCATCTCAAGTATCTTGTATTCAAACTTTAACATTCCCATTCCTCTTAGAATATGTTCCTGTTCTTGAATCCCATCTTTTACATGAAGACTTCTGAAGGTATGGACTACAGAAATATCATCTTCCTGAACACCAAAAACATTTTTAAAAGGCCCTCGTGCATTCCTGCCTTTACATACTTTCCCATTACCCTCCCGATTTAATTCCCCCACTCTAATTGCCCCCTTTATCTCTTTATAACACTATATTCTGTTTTCTCTTCCTGGGAAGATCTTGCCTCCCCCTGGTCGCTCACTAGCAGTGTAACCTCCATGGCTACTTCGATTGTGCCGCCCCCCGACACACACACCCGAATTTAAGCTTAAAGGCGAACATCTATATACAAGAGAAAACAGGCAATGTTTGTCTTTTTGGGTCTGGACTACTTTCCTCAGGATGATTGTTTCTAGCTCCATCCATTTACCTGCAAACTTCATTTTTCTTTTTGTTTTGATATTCTTACTTTCTTGTGTTTTTAAAGTTTGTTTTTATTTTCATTTTTTCTTAGTTTTGTGTTGTTGTTTGTGGAAGCATCTAGGAAAAACTGGGGGAGGGAAAAGAATGTGATCAAAATAATATGGAAAAATTTAATAAAAATGCATTAGTAGAAAAAATTTTAAATTAAGGGATGGATAAATGATGGAAGCATTTGCTGCTAAGCCTGAACCCCACATGGTAGAAGAAAAAAACCAATTGTCTCCACAAGTTGTCCTCTGACCTGTATACGTGGTCCATGTGGCACACATACACACACAAAGTGAATAAAAGCATGCAGTTTTTTTAAAAAGTCAATTCTACCTCTTGCATTATTGCTTCTTACCGCGATTTACCTCTTGTTTAATTATTTCATGTTCCACGTGTGCGCATATGTCCCATTTCCCCAAGCGCAGTGTAGAGTCCCTGAGGAAAAGACTGTCCTTAAGTTTCTGGGGATCCTCGGAGATGCCTGGCACCACACCAAGCTCACAATAACTCAGTTGGCGCTGACCTGCAATGGAGGTCACAGAAGTGTTTCCCAGAACCAAGAGGGACACCCAGATTTCTACTGCACAGTGAAATGGAAGTCCAAACTCGGAGTCTTTGAAAGGACACAGGATGTTAGTTACTTTCTCAACAGCATCCTTCCTGAAGCACATGCCATGTTTGAGTAGAAACAGACACAGGATGGTCTCTGAGACTCTTCTGTGCATAGAAGTGAGCGCTTTAGATTTCTACCCCGCTGAAGGACAGGCCAAAGTTGCCCATCATGAAAATGGCCACAGGCTCTCTGCTGGCCCCAGATAAATAAGGAGTTCGCCCAAGAGAACTTTAAAAGTAGATTAGGGATTAGAGGTTAAGGCTGGAGACAGACAGACATTAACAGAGTGTCTGCATTGACGGGGACCATCTGTCTGTCAGAAGCACGTGTTATGGTTGGAGAGAGCGGGCTGGGTTTTCTCTCTTCCTGCTGTGTCTTCACTCTCGTGGGTAGGAAATTCTGTTGACAGGACAGATTGCCTTGGGATAGCAGGAAGTGGAAGGAACCTGCCTACTTGAAGTACAGCCTGGGCACTGCCACCCTCTGAAGGAAGTTTCCTGTTTGTTACATTGGAAGTCCATGAGAAGGACCACAGAGACCCATGAGACATAGGATACAGAACTGGTGGCCACAAGGAAAATGGCATCAGAGATGACTTCATGTATCTGTGTTAGCACAGGCCCACGTGTGTGCAGAGCCCATGGGACAGTCTTGGTGTCATCCTTAAGGCTCCATCCACTTTGTTTTTGAGACAGGGTCTCTCACTGGCCTGGAACTTGCTGACTAGACTAGACTGCCTGGCCATCCAGTCCTAAGCATCTATCCGTCAACAAATTCCCCACTGCTGGGGTGGGTCATAACTATGCACCACCATGGTCAACTTTTCATTACATGGACCTGAAGCTTAAGCTTGGGTCTTTATGATTACAGAGTGAGAACTTTACTGACTGAGCCATGTACCCAGCCTGAGGTAAGACTTCCAAAAGGAAGACAATTGAGGAGGATACACGGATGAAGCCACAGATCACTGTCCTGGATGAAGAAACTTGACCCTCTCTGTAACATCTTCCAGATCCAGAGCCTTAGAAGTGTGTTAATCCTACGTGATGTAAAGCAGCTGAGGCATGAGCTGTTGACTGTAGGGACAAAATTCCATTCGACGCTCTGTCCTTTGTTGGGTGTTGGTAGTACCCAGGGCTTCTACTCACAGATGCTGGTGGCTGCTCCTCATCCACCTGCAACCTGAGATGTGTCCACCCTTTGCTAAGGGTCCCCTGAGGCTGGGGTTGGAGGAGGTAAAAATCATCATAACTGAAACCACTGGTCTATGGTGTGGTAGACTTGAGTTTAATATTCTAGTCCCCTTTCCCTCACCCATAAAAATGAGGATTAGTACCAACCTCTCAGAATTTGGAGAAGGGTGGACAAGAACACTCAGTGGGTAAAATCAGTCGCCACCAGGCCTGCTGACCTGAGTTGAATACTCAGGCCCCACATGGGAGAAGGAGAGAACCAATTCTCACAAACTGTCCTCTGGCCTCCACATACTCACTGTGGTACAGGGCATAGGCAGAGACACAAAACAAATAAATAAAATGCAAAAAGAAAACGGAGGCAGCTCATGTGGAGAAATGTTAAATGAGGAAGGCACATAAATCATGAGCACAGTTTGGAGTCTCAACTATCATGTTATTATTGTTGCGATTACTATTTACTGACAGCGACCTAGGCAGTCATTTCTTGCTCTGAAGAGTAGAGAGTTTGTTTATGTTGGGTTTTGTTTTTCACATTTGAGGCAGGGTTCTACTATGAAGACCAGGCTGACCTGGAACTCCCCTCTAGGCCAGGCTGGCCTTGAACTAGGGACTTCCTGTCTCATTTTTCCAAGTGCTGGGATTTAAGATTTGTGCCACCACATCAGCTTCATGTCTTGAATATTAGTTTGAATTCTTTTAAACAATTTAAAGAAAAAGCCATTTGTTTCCAAGCACTGAAGAAGAATAAATTATCCCCCACCATGCAGCTTCCTACAGATGAGTTCAAAGCCTGAATTCCCTGCACCTCACACTACAAACAACTTGGATATAAATGTAATCTTCTGACAGCTGACCTGCTTTCATTTTTCCTGTATTTATTTACTTAGAAAAGGGAGAATGCTCATTTTTTTTCTCACCCTTCAAGTAGATTTTCAGCTGAAACAGTAGAATACCGTGCCCACCAAGTGACTAGCTATGAGCCTGATCCTCCTTAAAGCATCCATGTGGCTTCTGGCACAAATGGGCACAGGGCAGTGGGTTTAGAGCATGAAGGTTACACTGATCAGTGCCAGATACCAGAGGCTACTGAGGTTTCTGCTTTAAAAATCGCGTTTGCATCTTTCAGTGCAGGGAAAATCACGTTGAGTCCACTAAGATCAAACATTAGTGTCTGTTGATCCCAGCTGGTCTCCAGCCTATGTGTTGTATAGTTACTGGTGGTGCAGATTTTCTAAAAAGGGATAAAGAAAAGGACGGTTTGATTTTTTTCTCTGTGCCTGGTTTTGTTGTGATTTGCTTTGCTTTTGGAAAAATGTTTTACATTTATTTAATTTGTATGTCTAAGCATACACACATACTCATGGCATGGCTCTCATGTGTCGGTCAGAGGACAACTTTCATGGGTCTATTCTCTATTTTCTCCATGTGAACCCTGGGAATTGAACTCAGATTGTTGGTCTGGCAGCAGATACCTTTTCTTGTTGAGCTATCTTGCCATCCCATTCTCTTTACCTGAGTAAGGGATGTGGATGGAGGAGTGGTGTGTGTGTGTGTGTGTGTATGTGTGTGTACACCTTATATATATATACATTATATGTATATTATATATGCGTATAGTCTTGGCTGTTGAACCAGAACAGCAGTCATGGGCAATCTATAAACAAATAGGCACAGCTGACTTCCAGTAAAGCTTTATTTGTTAGAACACAGTAGCTGCCTCTGGCTCAAAGCCCTGGCTTTCTGATCCCAGACTGAGGTAATAGTCCAATGAATGGCTCCTCTTCCACCTTGTTGGCTTTTGTTGTGTGTGACTGTCCTCTCAGGCCATCTACGACCCCTTCTTGCTGCAGGTCCATGGAGAAATGATAAATACATACAGGGCTGTTCATTTTCCTATGACTCGACAGAATGATCGAGAAGCCCGCTCATTTGAACAAAATGATTCCTGTGTTTTCGCAGACTAAATAAGCCTGGTATGAACAGCACATTTGATTTAATTTTTCTCCTTCAAAAATAAAAAGCAGCCCTATTAAGAACCCCCATCACTCAACGCTGAGAGGAAGCTCCTTCGAATCGTCAGCCCTACAGTAATTACTGGCAAAGAACCCCTGATGAGAGATCCTTGAGAAATGGAAAATGTACCCAAAGAACTAATAAAAACCCAGTCAATTGCAGTTAGAGATATCCAAATAGGATGCAGGAGGAGAGAGAACGGCAAGCCTGCTGCATGCACAAAAGGAAAGCCAGAGGAGATGGGCCTTGGAAGGGGAGTCTGTGGGCAGACAGCCTGGGGGCACAAGGTGGAGCTCGCCACTTTTCCAGGGACCTGTCCTGGGATCCCATTCAATAGACATTCATTAGCAACTGTAGCATAGGCCCTAACAGCCAGAGGCTTGGAGATCAGGAAGGCATGACTGGAAGAAATGATAAAATCCTGGAACTAGCTGAGAATTGAAATAGTTTATGTGTTCAAATTCAGGATGGGTGGAGAGGCGAAGGACTCATGAGCCCCACACTTAGCTAAAGAAATATGGATAGTTGATGTCTTCTGGGAGAGGGAGAATGGAGTTTCTTCAAGGGTGTGGCCCCTGGTAGGTCAACTGTGCTCCAGTGAATGGCTTCCAACACCCACAAGAACACAGGCAGCACAGTTTGGACTCTGGGTTTTGTTTTTAAAAAATGAAGTTGGGAGGGGGTGAGGGTAGTGATTTAATCTGGAAGGAGGAGGAGGAAGAACATGATTAAATTCATTGTACAAATGTGTGAAAATCTCAAAGAATTGGTCAATGCATTGTATTTTTAAAAAGTGAGAATGGAAAGGGGAGATAGAGAAGGAATGCAGGGGAGGGAAGGGGAGAGGGGAAGGGGGAAGAAAGAAGGGGAGGGAAAGGGGATGAGGGGAAGAGAAGGAGCGGAGGAAAGGATAGAGGAAAGAACAGAAGGGAACAAGAGGGAACAGTGGAAGGAGGTGTAAAGGGAAGTGAAGGAAAAGAAAAAGGCAGAGAAAAGGCAAAGCAGCAAAAAGCAGCCATTCCAGCTCACTGGGGAGGATGGCGGGCTTTGATTCTGACCACAGCCTGGCATCTGGCAGGATGCCTGACCCGTGCTGGGTGTCGGTCACATGACTAGAGGGAAGAGGAAGGGAGGCAACTGGCCCAGCAGCCTATGGTTGGCTTGTACAGCAAAGAACAATGGAGCCCCAGGTGGAGAAGGCCACATTCTGGGGACCGAATGCAAATTGTGGAACAGGGACAAAGGGACCTTCTTCCTGGAGGGGGGACCTTGAGCTCAGGTGTGTCCTGGAATGACTGAGTGACACTACCCTCCACATCAGAAAAGAAAACCTCCAGGTGACATCATGACCCTACCTGACCTTTTGGGAAGGGGACAATCCCTAAGCTTTCTCTCAAGAGTACCCGTGGGTAGATCTATAGCTTGTCCCATATCACAGCCTATATTCTGATCAAGATTATGAAACCAGGAGATAAGCTGTCACCACACCCCAGAGCATGCTCGTCCCTTCTGCAGTTGGGTGGGGCCATGTGTCTTGGTGATGGCTGTAAAATACAGTCTAGGTGGGATATGGTGTTCACAGGGGCTGGCTCTTGAGAAGAAGTTGCTCTCCCTCCCCACCAATGCCCCAAGATAGTCCCGGCTCTGGATCCATAGCAAAGAGACAGAAGCAGCTGGGATCCTGAGTCCACATTAGGGTGACATCTGCAGAAGAGGCCCTCCCAACCCCCACCTGACTGGGATGCAGGTGGAGAGCGTGCCTTTCTCTTCTTTTCAGGCTTGCCTATCACATCAGCATTGACAGGCCTTACCTTTGCACATCTAACCAGCTCAGTCCGGTTGCATGTGACAGAAACCCTGGCCTGAAGCTGGATCCATAGCCTAGGCAGTATGACCTGGAAAAAAAAAGTCCTCTCTATCTCTTGGCTGTCTTGGGGTTCCTCTTTCAAGGGGAACCAGCCACCTTCAGAAGCCCTTGACTCTTCCGGACAGTAAACATGGTAGCTGCGGCCCCCCCACAGAGCCCACCTTCCCTGTAAGCTCAGGGAGGTTTCCTGATCATAGCTCCAGAGGTTTCCGCAGAGCTTCCCTGGCTCTACTGCTTTGCCTGAGGAGAGTCTAAATATCAAGGAAGAAGGACGGGGCGGGGGGCGGAGGGGGCGCGGAGCAGAGAAGTTCTCCAAGGCAGACGGCAACACGGAGGTAGAATGTTCAGGACAGGAAATAGCGCTTGGTGACCTTTTCCCTCCAGCTAAGCCCCACCTCCTGAAGCTTCTGGACCTTTTTGAAATAGCACAACCGACTGGGAGCCAAGCGTCCTGTCTTCAGCATTTTGGGGGGAGACTTCACACTCAAACCATGGCACCTCCCAAGGAAACTCCTAAAGGAATTGAGAACTTGTGTAACGCCCACGAAAGTCACAGGATTTGGTTTCATCCGGCAAGTTTAACTCATGCAGAATGAGTACTCATCCTCTGAGGGAAGGAATGTAAATTCAGCTTAGGACTGGATGTCCCTGAAGTGAAGAGAAGCTCTCTCAGGTGAACGTGGACTGAGACTGGGTAAGGAACCAGCCTTTTGTAACATCCAGGCTTCTAGAAGGACAGCAAAGAGCTGAGGAGGTAGAGTGGTCCCGAGTGACAGTGAGTAATCATAACTGGGTTCAACTGGACCTCAAAAACATCCTTCTAGAATGCCTTTTGGAGCATTCATTCCTCCACATTAAAGGAGTAGGGAGCCACTATGATTAGACAATGTACTTATTTTTAATGCTGTGCTAAGGTTTAAGATTTTAAAAAAAAAAGTGCCAACTTAAACTCCAGTGCTCCTGTTTGTCCACGCATAGCAGGTATTCTCATAACTCACATTTTTTTACAGCTGCAAGTGTACTTGAGACATCAGGGTGGTTGATTTGCAGAAATATTTTATCACCTTTCTATGCCTGCCCGTGCTTAGCTGTGTGATCATGGGCAATTAGCCTCTCTTCTCTGGGCCTTGGATCCATAGTTGAATGGGGATAATATGCCTATCACAAGGCTGCTGTAAGTATTGGAGAACAATGTATGGGAAGAACGTGGCATGATGCTTCCGGAGTGGGTGCTTCAGAAGAAGGAGCTGGCCCCATTTACTTCATACTCCCATTGTTCTGCTCTGTGATGTCTGGCACATTGTAAATCAATTAGCTGGTGTCATTGCTGGTTCTGTAAATGTTTGCAGAATAGCTGAAATAATTAGGAAATGAATAGAACGGAATGAAAGGGAGAATGGGAGATGGGAAGAGGGAAGGGATGGGAGTGGATTTCATTCATCTAACAGATGTATTGAAGTACTGTTGTGTCCCAGGCATTAGGAAGGGCGTGCATTGATAGCCCTGGTGTAAAGCCTGGCTTCTGAAGTTTACAACACCGTGAGGGAGAGAAATGATGGACAAGGACACAAAGAGACGGAAGTGTTTGCGTGCCCTGACATACATATCAAGAAGACTACAGGGATGCCCTGTTAGACAACGATCCATGTACCAAGTGCACAGAGCGGTCAAGGGAACCTCTCTGATGAGTGACAGCTGAAGTAAGACCTGGGGCTTGAATACGGAGGCATCTGTAGGGGCTGCTGGGATGGCTCAGTGGGTGGAGACATCTGCTGCCAGCTGAGGACATAAATTGTACCCTCATGACTCATGTGACCAAAGGAAAGAATTGATTCAAGTAAGCTGTCCTCTGACCTCCGCATGTGCACACACACACACACACACACGCACCAGAATAATGAATAAATATAGGTAAATTCTTTTTTAAAGATTATGTTGTAGACATTAGTAGCAGTAGTATACTATTAATATCAACCAAAAAAATCTAAGGTGAAAATACCAGTATTTAATTCAAAACTGTTTCATGGAATTTGAACTGCATTAATAATTACTTTGAACAAAAATTAAACTCAGTAATATCCATGCATTTGATAAACATTTAAGTATCATTTCACCCAGTTGAAATTGAAAAAAAAATGAGTAAGAGGAGGTGATCCTTACAAACATCCACAGAATAAAAATGGGTGCAGGAGCCAGCCACGCAAATCTCCATTTGTTTCTATCACCAACCTCCTAAGAGTGTTTCAGCGGTGTTGCCTTCCCAGTCCGAAAGTCAGGGCCTCTATTGGTAAGTGACAATGAGGGAGTGTCCCACTCACTACTCTGCCCACGCTAACCCCCGGTGCTAGAACACCAGCTCTCAAAGGCCAGTGCAGTCTGCAGCTTGTCCACATCTCCTGTGCTTAGTGGACTTGGCCCCAGCCAGGCACTCACAGAATCGCTGGTGGATGAGTGAATTAATGCATGGATAAATGTGTTTGCGTTTCCCCAAACGTGTTTGCATTGCAGGCTTGTAATTTCACACTGGGTTCAGTCAATGTTTTTTAACACAGTGACACTTATAATCAAGGCTCAGAGTCTTACTTATGCTAACAAATGCTGATTCTCCCTAATAGACAGTATTACTTTTCCTAGCTCTGAGTATTAGTGTCTCATTCACTCTTTATGACATATATTTCTGAATAAATAAGTGGGGTCCCATGAGGAGCAGTGCCTATTGTAAAAAGTGATCACTAGTGTGTGATTTATTAGGGGTTGGATATGAGATCAGAGCCCATTAGAAAGTAAAGAATGATGGGAGTTTTGCTAGTGGAGGAGTGTTCAATAAGAACTGTCTTCCAAGGCTCACTTGTCAAACATTCGGCCCCTAGCTGGTGCTGTTGATTGAGGTAGTCATGGTACCTTGGTGCGGTGCCGCCTTGCTGGCCCCTACTTCCTGTTCTCTCTCTCTCTCTCTCTCTCTCTCTCTCTCTCTCTCTCTCTCTCTCTCTCTCTCTGTACATATAAAATGTGATCAGCCCAGCCGAGCAGTGGTGGTGCACGCCTTTAATCTCAGCACTCAGGAGGCAGAGCCAGGCCAATCTCTGTGAGTTCAAGGCCAGCCTGGTCTACAGAGAGAAAGATCCAGGACAGGCTCCAAAATTACACAGAGAAATCCTGTCTCAAAAAAACCAAAGAAAGAAAGAAAAAGAAAAAGAGTGATCAGCCGGCTTCCTGCTCCTGCCTCCCCTTCACGATGAACTCTGTCCCTCTGGAAGACTAAACCAAAAAGAACCTTTTCTTCCTTAAGCGGCTCCCAGTCATGTTGCTTTATCACAACAGAGAAGCAAACTAGAACAGTCCCATGAATGAGGAGGAGAGGAAGCGTTGGCTGCCGTGACCCCAGGCATACCTGCTCATTCATACTTCAGACTCCCTGCATGCTGTGCCATACGTCACCCACATTGTTGGCTGTTCACACCCTGTGAGTCTAGATCTTCTATCAGAGGAGGTCATCCGTCAATGGTAGTAGAGAGACTGATGGATTGGGCTCTGCATCAGAAGTTGAATAACATTTTCCATGTTAGATGATCCATAGGCCTTTAAGAGATGCTCGATAATATTGAGTCTGGGTCTTCCATTACTTTTTCTTTGAATGTGCATTTAGACTTTTTATATGCAGTTATCTACCCACTCACCTACTATACTTTCAGCATCCACCTTTTTTACTGCTGTATCCTTAACTTTAAAGATGGAGGAGACCTTGAAATGACCTCCTGGAATCCTGGTGTGTGATAACAGCCACTAAGAAAGTATAAGAGTTTTGGGGAATAGGACTCTACCAAAACACACTAGGCTTCTATGAGGATTCCTCCCCCAAGACTCTGGGTGGGAACCCTTCCCTGCCAGCACCTTGATTTCAGCCTGGGAGGCTCTAAACACGTGAGGTCTCCTGGACCTGTGCTACAGAGATGGGAGGAAACAGGTGCATGCTCATTTCAACTCTGCAGGATGGTTAACCAGTCTTGGGGTGCTTTTGGTGAGAAAGAGATAACAGTAACAATATAACATTTATATTGCCTGAAATACTTATATGAGAACAAATGCAGTAACTAAACAAAATGAAAGCCTCATCGCAACATATAATAGAAAAGCAGATGAGTGAGGCCTTGCCACAAACTCCCTATCTCAAGTGAACACATGTGAATGAGAGCCTTGGGTTCTCAGTGGATCAGATGGTATGCAAAGAAAGTTGGGGAGGCACATGGGATGTCTGTGAATTTGAGAAGAACCCTAGATGGCCCATAGGACCTCACTGGAAGGCACAGGGGCAAGTTTGATGTCATAGACAAAACCAAAAATCCTAAGGCCTTTCGAAGGTCCATGAAATCAGGAGGCCAGGATACAATTACATTATTTATTTGGTTATTTTTTGTTTGGTTGGTTTTGTGTGAGTCTATATATGTTTAGTGGTCATAGACACACCATGTTGTATATATGGAAGTTGGAGAATGACTGGAGATAGTTGGCCATCCCCTTCCACCAGGGTTGTCAGGCTTGGTGGCAAGTGCCATTACCTACCGAGCATTTCACTATCTAAAAGAGGCAGGAGTTGACTGAGCCACACAAGCCCCCAATAGCAATAGCCAAAGTGTCATGTGCAATTGACCAGAGAGGAGAAATCACATTTAATTAAAGACAGGAGTTGGGATGTTTAACATAAGAGCCACAGAAATCTCTGGAAACAGGCTAGCATATTTGTGCACATTGCATGTAAACTGAGAAAAGAGGGGCTCAGAGACTGGAGACATTCTACCAAGCCACCCTGTTCCTTTTAGATTTTCAGGGATACTAATTTCACATACAAAAGACAACAGAAAAATATTGAGATCAAATCCCTTGCAAAATTACAAGAGGAGAAAAGAGACCTACAAGGCAGTAACATTCTTATAGGCATGAAAGTGTGCAGGAAGATAAGTCCACAGACAGATCAAAAGTGTACCCTACTCTATCATACAATGAAATTATCCAAGATCTGCAAACACTACACAAATCAGAATTGGATTCCTCAGGGGTGAGGAGGAAGGAATACAGTGTTTAGAAGTAAAAAGTACTATATAAAGTCCAATATAAACTAAGGAAATACATACAATTAAAATAACAAATAGAAGAATTAGCATAACACATAATGACTTAACATGAGCAAACTATCTAAAAATGAACATTTTAAAAATTAAGAGGTTGGAAATAGAGCCCATTACAGAAAACCAAATGCAGAGTTGTGGAGCACAGTCATGACTGA